GAGGCAGATGGTGTTAGGATTTCATCAGTTTTGCTGTGCTCTTAGCAGTATGGATAAGGCTTCCCTGGTGGCTTGGACGGTAAAGAATCTGCCTGCAATGCAGGAGACCCAGGTTCAATCTCTGGGTCAGGAAGATCCCCTGGAAAAGGAAATGGCAACCCACTCCAGTATTCTTGCCTAGAGAATCCCTTGGACAGAGGGGCCTGGTGGGATACAGTCCACGGGGTCACAAAGAGTTAGACACAACAGATGGACTAACACTTTCGCTTTCTCTCACTTTATTGATATGGAAAAACAACATTAAAGGCTAATTGATACGTTTTGGTTCTCTCACTTTTCTCTGAGCCCCATTTTCTCTTTTGCTTACTTTAAGTAAATCTTATCAGTTTTTCTAACCCCACCATGGCAACCTAATTTCTCTCCATGGTAACTAGGGCAAATGAAGGCAAATCTATTTGTGTTTTCTTTGTTGGTTTGTTTTTGTTTTTGCCTGAACCACAGGCATGTAGTTCCCCTACCAGGGATTGAACCCATGTCCCCTGCATTGGAAACTCGGAGTCTTAATCATTGAACCACTAGGGAAGTGCCACATCTAATCTGTTTCAATGCATCTTCACAGCCTTCATTCACTGTGGGCCAAGTTTACACTAACCTATGTCTAGGTGACTACCAGAGTCTTTGCACTGGTCTCTTGGCATTGAATCATTCCCACTACAATTTTATATACCACTTATAGATTTATATTTGTACCCCTTCTTCATAGTAACAGCCACAGTAGAATTTTACATTTACTTATATGACTAAAGTGGCCTCCTCTACTGGATTGTAAATTATGTGGGTACAGGGATAAAGTAACACTTTGCTCACCCTAAATCTATAGTGCCTAGTCCGGCATCTGACAAGTATTAGACATGTAAGAAACACCTGTTGAGTAAATTAATATTACTTTAAATATATATATTTTTTCTTATTTATTTCCTGGAGTCAAGACTTTGTTTTACTCAAGGTCAAAGTCTTCCTAACCTAAATCAAAAAACTCCAGCTTGCTGATAATGGTCTTCCATTAATCACGCTCTCACTGCCTTCACCTTTAAGGGGTGCTCCTACTCAAAGTGGGCGCCTCTCTTTCCTATTTTCAAAAAATGCTGTGGGTGTTTCCACTGCTCTGTACTTACTCATGTTCTTTCTATTCCAAGCCACCAGTCTGTTCTTCCAAATTGTGTGACAGTGACAGTTGTATTATTCCCAAATGATCTGGGTTTCAGAAATATCCTAGAGAAATCTTTTTATACTTTGTTGTATTTATTTTTGGCTATGCTGGGTCTTCATTGCTGCGTGGGCTTTTCTCTAGTTGCATTTCATTTCTCATTTCAGGCTTCTCATTTCGGTGGCTTCTCTTGTTGCTAAGCACGGGCTTAAGGGCACACAGGGAGGTTCAGCAGTTGCGGCTCCTGGGTTCTAGAGCACAGGCTCAATAGTTGTGGTACACCTGCTTAGTTGCTTTGCAGCATGTGCAACCTTCTCAAATGAGGGATCAAACCTATATCTCCTGCGTTGGCTGGCAGATTCTTTACCACTGAGCCACCCGGGTCTGAGAAATCCTTTTAAAAACCTTCACTTCTAAAGTGGCCATGATTGCTTCTCGGCCTTTTGGCTAAGATCAAGTGTAAAGTGGCCATGACCAAGCTAGTTACTCCTGAATATGGTAACATTAATTTTGGGAATTAAAACAAAATTCAAGAATTTAAATCAGTTTTAACTGATGAAGCATAAAATGTACCAAGTGGTCTCTTAATAAGGTGAAATAAATTTAATTTTCATATTTTGTTTGTTCTTACATAAAACAAAAGCAGACTATGAATGAAAATGTAATCACTTCCTACAACAATTTATTTATGAGACCATTTTTGCTGTCTGGTTTAACATAAACATTTATAGCTCATGAGCCTCTATTGGACTTCCAACAACACATTATAATTTTTAAAAGTGTTCTGTGACCAAATATGGTGAGGAAACTCTCACAAGTAGTGTAGTTTATTTCAAGCTAAGTGAGGAGAGTGGTTTTTAAAGGAGAGCCTGGACAGTAGTATCAGATCCTGGAAAAGTCAAGGAGAAAGAAAAAAGGGCAGTCAATATTAGTGACTCTTTACCCCTGGTGGCTCAGATGGTAAAGTGTCTGCCTACAATGCAGGAGACCCGCGTTCAATGCCTGGGTCAGGAAGATCTCCTGGACAAGAAAATGGCAACCCACTCCAGTATTCTTGCCTGGAAAATCCCATGGACGGAGCAACCTGGTAGGCTACAGTCCATGGGATCTCGAAGAGTCGGACATGATTGAGCAACTTCACTTTATACTTACACACATTTGCAGAATTTTAAAGTAACTAAAACCGAAATTTATACCATTCCCAAAGATGAATGTGTCAGCATTTTTTCCTCTTCCATAGACTGGGGGGAGGGGGTGCGGGGGGCGGACACTCATTCAAAATAACTGTATATAGCAAAATACTTCTGATTTTGCATTTCCTGTTTTTGTCACCAAATACATTTCGAAGATTAAGCTTTTTTCCTTCCAAAATTATGATGCCAGGGCGAGGGTATCATTCAGTATAATATACTGTAAAATAAAGCTGAACAAGCACAGAAAGCATTTAAATCATGCTCATATACATTTAAGAATTAAAATTACCTCAATAAATACGCTTTATGTAGCATAAATTGATACTACAATTTATGGAAGACTAGGGAGTTTGAAAATGAAGGATCTAGGTTTTGATGGAGCCCCCAAAACTTAGTACTACCTAAGATTTTCAACAAATCACCTATCTGAGTTGCTGTGAAGAGTAAAGTTTGGTGGTGGTTTAGTCGCTAGGTCTTACCTGATTCTGTGCGACCCCATGGACTGTAGCCCGCCAGGCTCCTCTGTCCATGGGATTCTCCAGGCAAGAATACTGGAATGGGTTGCCATTTCCTTCTCCAGGGGATCCAGGGATTGAACCCAGGTCTCCTGCATTGTAGGCAGACTCTACCCACTGAGCTACAGGGGAAGCCCAAAGGGGTTTACACATGTGGATTTTTGTTGTTTTGGCCATGCTCCATGGCCAACAAGATCTTAGTTCCTCCACCAGGGATTGAACCGTGTCCGCACATTGAAAGTGCCAAGTCCTAACCAGCAGACCACCAGGGAATTCCCCTATAAATGTAAATTTTAAAAACATGACAGTGATGTTGCTGTGAATTACATCATGAACTTGCCAGTGTTGTGAGAAGTGGGTTGTAAGGGAGAAAGAGAAGAGTCAGTATTTCTAAGTGATCTCACCTACTGGACATTTACTATGAGCCAAGTACTGTATTGAGGGCTGTCATAAATTCTCTCATTAAGTCCTCACACTTGCCCAACGTAGTAGTGTTGTATTAGGTGGAACCATGGGAACTAGCCGTTTCGGTAGCTCAAAAATAGTCAATGATCAGCAGTATCACGAAGTTTAAACTATCATCCACAGAAACGGGAGAAAGTGAAACACAGAGACTGACTTGTCTAAGTTAAAATAACTAGTACCTGATAAAGTCAGATTTGCAAGCCACACAGGTTGATGTTTTTGCTTTTTAGTATATCTGATTACTGTCAACAAAAGCAAAAATGTGTTGAGGAAAGCTCAATAAATGTTAAACTCGCGGTTCCTACCAAGTCTACTACATATGAAATTTAAAGTGAAAGTGAAGTTGCTCAGTCGTGTCCGACTCTTTGCGACCCCATGGACTGTAGCCCACCAGGCTCCTCCGTCCATGGGATTTTCCAGGCAAGAGTACTGGAGTGGGGTGCCATTTCCTTCTCCAGGAGATTTTCCCAACTCAGGAATTGAAGGAAATGGCACCCCACTCAAGCACTTTTGCCTGGAAAATCCCATGGACGGAGGAGCCTGGTGGGCTACAGTCCATGGGGTCGCAAAGAGTCGGACACGACTGAGCAACTTTCCCGCACTGCAGGCAGACGCTTTACCGTCTAAGCCGCCAGGGAAGCAATAAAGAATCACACCTCTAAAGGAACAGCTCCTATCTTCCCTGATCTCACCATTTTAAGCATTCTCTTTAATCTCATCTGGAAACTACGATATTCTTATAGTGTTACTCACTGTTTCATATGCTTAAATCGTATCTGGAACTACAGTTTAAGAATCTCAAGGGCAGAGATTAAGTATTACTCTTTGACGTCACACAATGCCCAGCAAATAGAGTAAATCAATAGACCTTTAATCAGTGGACGTGAAGAAAACGAGCAGTTTGGGGGAAGCCCTTAAGAAGGGAAACGAACTTCTTCTGAGAATTGAAACCGGCGGGCATTTCAACGCCTCGGTACTTTCCTCTTTTTAAAGCGGTATCTTAGGGCTATCACCAGCGTGATAGCCCATTGGCTGGGAGGTGAGACTGCGAGCGCAGCCGATGGAGGTGGAGCGGGCCGGCGCACCGCCCTCTGGCCGGCAGGGGGAGCCCTGCTGAGCGCCAGGCCCCGCGCCGGGGCCCGCGCCGTGCCGCCCCGCCCCGCGTGCCCCGCGATCTCTCCGCCGCGCGCCCGCCTGCCTGCCGCCCGGCGCCACGCCCGCCGCAGGCTGAGGGCCAGTCACCCGCGGGCCGGCTCCCCGCAGCCCGCTCGCCGCCCCGCCCCGCCCGGCGCCGCCGCGGGACGGGTAACGGTTACGAAGCACTTTCTCCGCCGCGATTTCTGCTTAGTCATTGTCTTCCTGGAAACGGCTCCTCAGTTGGGAGTCCACTCTCCCGCGGCGGCCGCTGTAGCAGAGAGCCGCAGCCATCAGCGCGTCTTTCCTGGCCGCAGCTCCGCTGCCGCCCGGTCGTCCTTGGGCCCGAGCGCAGGCCGGGGTCTCGCCGCGCGGGGCGAGCAGCCTCGCGCTTTGCTCTCCGGCCTCGGGCACCGCGTCCTACGGGCGGCCTCCTTCCCCGCCTGCGGCCCCGTCGCCGCCGGGCCCGCTCCGTCGGCTGCTGTCATGGGCACCGACAGCCGCGCGGCCGGAGCGCTCCTGGCGCGGGCCAGCACCCTGCACCTGCAGACGGGGAACCTGCTGAACTGGGGCCGCCTGCGGAAGAAGTGCCCGTCCACGCACAGCGAGGAGGTGAGGGCGGCGAGCGCGCCGGCGGAGACCGGCTCCAGGGACAGGCCGCGGCCCGGACCGGGCGGCTCCGCGGGCGGGTGGTTGGGCTCCTGGCGCCGCGGGGGACGTGGGCGAGGCGCGCACCTGGGCTCCGCCTGCGAGAGGAAGCCGGGGCTGCTGTCTGCTCGATGTCGCGTCCGAACCTGCTGTTGGGGGGCACTGCGTCTTTACAAATTGGGCAGGTGCAACTTGATGAGGGGTGACGCCTCTTGTCAGTGCTCCCGGCTGATGACCAAACTCTCCAACCTATTGGATCGCTCTCCCGGGCGAGGGGGTCAGAGAGGGCCGATCCCGCGCTTCGTCCCCGTCCCTAGCTCACTCCTTTTCTTCCACCAGGTAAAGAAAAATCTGGGGGATTAGCTTGCCGAAGACTCAGATGAGGTAGTAGTAATAATCCACTTAGCTTTTAGGGTGTTGACTGTAGTTTCTGTCTGGCTGTGAGGCAAATGACTGAACACTCAAATTCGGCTTTGGAAAAAGGTATGTATTTCTCTTGCTGAAGATTAATTTGGCTAAAGACTGACCACTGTTTTGAAGTGGCAGGGAATAATCTGGAGTTATATTCTCGTTGCATATTTGTTACATCGCTGGTCCTTCCTAAAGGGAAGAGTCGATCATTAGGCACAGTTAATTGCTGAGGCGTGTTGGTGGTATAGGACGGGTTTTAGTGTTAAAAAATAACAATAAAACAAACTTTTAATTTAAGAGCTCTGTGACTTTGGGAAAGTTACCCTCGCGAGCCTATTTCCGTGACTTAAAAGTTGGATTATATCATCATCAGGTCACGGTGAGGAATAAAGGATCCTATATGAAACACCATGCAAGCGTTTATCTCCCTTGCCATCTGGTTCAGAGAGATAAAACAAATCTTGATTAAAAGAAAAAATTCCTAAGCTATGTCAATTATGATGTTATCAACTGTGTTCCTAATCAGTTTTAAATAAGATGTTGGTGTTATACTAGGTAGTAGCAGTAGCATCCCTCTTAGTATGAGTTGACCTGTGCCCAGGCCTCCTGTCGGCAGTGAGGACCTATCTGGGGATGAGAACTCTTGGTTGCAACTTTAATAGGAATCAGAATCCATACCATATTCTGTGTCCAGGATGCAGCTCAGCTTGTCTCTCTTGTTGTTTTTTTTTGTTTTGTTGTTTTTTAAAAAACACCCTCACTTGTGCTATTTCTCCCAAAGATAGACACTTCTGTGTTTTGTTCTAGACCTTTAACTTCTCCAGGGTTGATGGTTCAATACAGCATTTTGCACATAGATAATGCTGGGTGACATTTTCTCTCTCTTATCTCACTCAACACATGCTAAAGTAGTAGTTTGCAGTTTGACTGCAAACCCAGTTTAAAAAAAAGCATTTTGCCTTGACACTCCATTTCATGGTTTACGCGCGCGCGCGCACACACACACACACACACACACACAATCTTATGAAAAGATTTTACTATATACTGTGTATTCTAATTTTTTCTATCTTATATTAATTTTTAAAAACGTGATTTGTTAATGCAGTAATGAGTTACACCCCACAGTTTGAAAAACATTGTTCAAAAGACTAACTGTCTTTTATTTTGGGTGATGTGAAAGAGGGACAAAATTAAGAAATTTGAAAACTTTTGAGGAAAGCTTGGTGCTAGCATTTGTAGAGAAAATGTGACAGCTTGATTAGAATAGGAGAGGTGTGTTTTGTTTCTATGTAAAGAACTTTGCAGCAACCAGAGCTGTAAAGTGGGATACACTACTTGAAACAGTTCAACCTCATTGAATAAAGAAACTAAATAAATCACTCATTATTGAGAAAATTTACACATTAGGTAGAGATTATTAAATTTCCTAAAAGGTCTTTTCTAGTCTAATGTTTTGTTTTTTAATTATTCTGTAATCTCTGCCCAGATTTTTTTTCACTGTAATTTTCTGAAATAAAATCTTGTGTTTTAAATGGGCTGTTATTGGACTGTTTTGAACAGTTATTTGTTGTTAAGGTATTTGATCATGTAGCATTTTTTAAAAACTCTTATACAACTCCAGATCTAATGATACACTAAATTATGATGATGCTCATCTTCCATGATACTATGTGTGGTAAGAATGAAGAGAGCAAAGAACAAAAAAGTACAAGGTTAATGTTCATTCAGTATAGATAATATATAAAAGATTAAAAATCACCCAGTTTGTGATAGTGAATTTCTCATGTTATTGTAACACTGGACTTTTCCATAATTTGTCCTGACAGAAGGGAGAGAACACTCTGAAAATATACTTATCTTCAGGAATTGAGAAATTCATCTGGAAAGCCTTCTGCCAGTTAACCATCCTCCCAGAGGAGAATTTCTAAAAATTTTCCCATGTCTTGAGTCACAGCACTCCTGATCGAATTGTTGTTCCTGCTGCCTCAATTTTTATTAATTTTTCAGAGAATATTAACTTGTAATTCTATCTAAAATGATTATCAACTAATCATTTTTTATTTAATGACTTAAATTTGATTATAAATATATACACCCTGTAAACTGAATTCATGTGGGTTATTGTGGCTAGCACATGAATTACTGTTGTATGTTATAAATCTTAAATAGGTGATTCTGAGCTCTTCATTGATAAACCAGTTGTCCCTTGTAATTATCTATACTGAAATATAAGCAATAAAGTTCTTGTGTCGGTTTTTATCATAAGCACTCAGAGATCAGATAGTGAGTTCAGAAGTTTAATCTCTGTTGTTGGTATTAGGAAAGTGCTTTTGCAATTCAGGGATGTGCTTCTGGTTACTCATTTATTTTTTCATTGATTGCCCGCAGAATGCAAAGTACTGTGCCCTTTGTATTTATAAGGCAGTGATTTCTGCTAGTGTGAGCCCAAACTGCTAGTTTTGGCCCATTTGTGGTCAGAAGTCAGTTCAGTGATTCATGGAGCAACATAGTTTTTTCTAACTCATAGAAGTCACCAGACTATCTGGTATATAGTAAGCATAAATATTACTTTGTGAATTTTTGTTGTTATATGTATGTACGTCTGTACTCACTGTGTTAGTGTATGTCTTATTTTGGACCACTATTAAGTAAGTTGGAAATACACTGTCATAAGAGATAAAAGATAACTAGACACTTGAATGAATTTACAGAATACTACAGTGTTAGTGTAAGAAAATTGTATAAGAAAACATTGATGACAGGTCTAAGGTCTACCTGCCTGTTAGGAAATGACTTATATGAACTGACTGCAAGCTGACTTCTGCGAGATAGGACTATGGTGATTTCTAGACTTTAGAGTACATTTTGATTACTTGGATGCTTCTTAAAATGAAAGTTCTGCTGCCCTTAGAAAGTGATTCAGCAGATCTAGGATAGTGCTCAGGAATTTAAACATTTATTGAACACCACAGGTGATTCTCATGTAGGTGCATAGTGGTTAAGGTTCATTCTAGTCAGGCTGCCTGGGCTTGATTACAGTTCCATTTATAAATTTCCTTATTCTTGAAATTGTGTTCCTTTATGAATGCTTTTACATCTCAAAAGTTTACTTAAATTTTCATTGGCGCAAAAATACTTTTAAAATGATTAGATTACTGCTTTAGGTCAAGAACATTTGAGAATTAAGAGTAGGATAAAAACAGATCTAAGTTGATCTTTGTTAAAAGAAACAAAACCTTGTAGAATTAAAAGTTTGTTTTGTATCGTATTTCCTATGGATATCTTCTTTTTCCTATTTATCAGACTAATACAGTCCTTAAAAAAAAAAAAAACTTTAGGTGAAGGTTTATTTCAACCTTTTTTCATTGTAGAAGTACATAAAAAGTGTAGTGTATGGTTAACAGTTTCAAAATGCATTTCTTTTGCAGCTTCGAGATTGTATTCAAAAGACCTTAAATGAATGGAGTTCCCAAATCAACCCAGATTTGGTCAGGGTGAGTGAACTGTAAATGACGAAATCATGTAATAAGCAGGAAATTAATTTTCTCAGGTTTGATCAGGAAGTCAGATAGGCAACTAGCATGAAAATCACTGTGGTCCATTTGCTGAAATGACAGTCTGACCCAGTAGGCTTAAGCATGAAAGAGAAAATCCAACTCTGTAGTCAACTCTTCAGTAAGAAAGCTTCTAAGATTCCACAGTCTTCTCAGAGTGTATTTAGTTCCAGTTTATATTTGGTCTAGTAGAGGAATGACTATCAAACAGTTCTGGTTTCTAGATTGCTTTGGTAGACTATAAGCAAAACATAGTTACTAAAAATAATTTTGTAAGTGTCACTTATGAAACAGTAAGGAAGGGTTTCATTGAATGTCAGTATATGGCTATTATCAAAAACGTTAATATACAAAACACAGTCTATAAACTACTCTTTGGAATCCAGCTTAGCCAAAGGCTGGCTTATCACAAATTACACACTACTTAAGAAGTATGGAAGAAGACATGCACTATCAATAATTGTTTCTCTGAGCATACTGCAAGTTTGTAACTAAAGGTGCTAGGCAGACATTCAGTAATGTCTTCTATCAGTCTCATTTCTCTGAAGTGACCATTCACTCTGTGCTTGACTTGGAAATACTTAACATGTGTTCAGGCATTCTATGTTCAAGAATTATGGGAAAATCCTGTTTACTTTGTTTTAATTTTATAAATGTTAGTATGTTACTGATTTTTATGTACCAATATTTTATCATTTCACTCATTAACTACTTGTTTTTATGCATTGGAATTGCCTTTACTTTGTTTCCATTGCATTTAGAAAAAAATACATTTTGGGTTAAAATGTTTGGGATTGATACATGGGAAGTTTTTAACATGTCAATATCCAGAAGGAAAATACTACTTTTCATTGATTTCTGAGTATAAGTATTGACTGTGTTAATGGTTCTCACTCCTCACATACCGCCCAGTTTGCTTGCTGGTTTGTTCATTTGTTTTTGGTCGTACATCCTTCCCCTACTCCCGCTCTGAGTATCTCATCAAAATAAGACACTTTCCCAGAAAATGGACACACACACAGCACTTTACCTCTCTTTCAGGGCTTTATAAACTTTCTGAAGCCCATCAGGTAAAAAACTTTATTGTCTTAGGGATTCTCTGGTTCTAAAGAGTGTTATGGACAATAGAAGATATATAGCTAAGTAAAAACATTAATTTTATTTTTATTGTAAATATCATGTGTTTATTATAGGAGTTTCCAGATGTCTTGGAATGTACTGTATCTCATGCAGTAGAAAAGATAAATCCTGATGAAAGAGAAGAAATGAAAGTTTCTGGTAAAGTCCAGCCTTTACAGTTCATTTTGTTTTACAGTGGATAATAGATTTTGTTAGGCATGGGGATAAGCCTTTCTTTGATTCTGGTAATAAGTAACTTGATCACTCAGTGTAGGAAATATAGAGATTCTTTATAACATAATTTTATAGCCAGCTTTAAAGGAGTTATAGGAGGTCGCTGTTGGCTACTTCAGTGAAGGCAGAATAGAACTTCACCTCTTCATTTTGTTCTCACTAATTTATGTGAGACATTATTAATCAGAGCAGTAAAAGGTGTAGGAAAGAATGCAGGGAAGGCTTAAGAGCAGTGTCCACCCGAAGCCAGCATAAGTCCTCCCTTCCTGGTGTGACACTGCTAAGCAATATGACTGAGGTCACCTGGGAGCAAAGCAACAAGTCTGGGCAGAAAGCCGCGTGAAGAAAAATAAAATACATGCTGTACCCATTCAACAAAGGTGGAGGGACTGCTACTACTTTCCAGAGATAGAGTTAAGTTTAAGGAATGACAGCTGTTCTGGTCCTCAGCTTACAGTCAGCATAACATAGTCACTAAATACTTGAGCTTAACTAGACTGAAATTCCTGGATGTGCAGATTACTGACTGACATAATCTAGGGCTAACAAATGATTTAACATCTCTGAGCTCAGTTTCCTTATCTATAAAATGGGGATACACCTGTTTTGCAAGTTTCCTTGTAAGTTAGATGAAATAACAAAAGAAGCACTTAGCTTGGTTCTTGGCACAAAGTAAGTGCCAGGTTACTGTTATTTATTACTATTTGCGGCTGTGTTGTAGCTGTTGTCATTTTATTATTACTCTTATTAGAGTGAACACGTTTAAGATGAATTAGACCATTGACTCTAATAATAATAACTACCATTTGTTGAATCTCACTTTATACCAGAGATTGTACTTGCCACATTATGGTTATATTTATTCTATAGAATTTTCAAAACAATTCTGCAAGGTAGGTTTATTATCCCCATTACACAAGTGACATTAAATAACTTGAAAGCTGTTGTGTAGCAAGTAAATGGTTGAACCAGGAGTCCATCAAGGTATGCCTGAATACAGAACTCATTTCTTTTTGTTAATTTCACACTGCTATTTGTGTTGAAAAGGACATCAGAGCAGCATTTCTCTGTGGTATATTGCAGTTCATCATGGTGTAGATCCAACTTGGAACAAGTTGTCCTTGATTCCTGGAAGGCTTGAGATTTTTGATAAGCATCAAGAGCTTCTCTCTCTTCACCTACCTAAAAATGCCTCCTCTTTTGGAAAGAGACCATCTCAAATGACACCCACTTCATAGCCAGTGGGGTAATGATGGGGAGGGCTTTCACAGAATATAATTACAGAGCTGAGTTGGAGCAAAGTGGTGAAGATTGACTCAGCTGGTAAGGAAGTTGTGATGGCTTTTAGATAGAGAAGTAACATGAGGAAAGCAGTATTTTAGGATGATTATCCAGCAGTAGAAAGGAAATGACAACAAGAAATGTTGTACAAAGAAAATTTATTGTATATATTGAATGCCAGGCACTTTACATACTGGTATTTCATTAACCCTGTTTTCTCTCTATTACCCTTTATGATTTTCTCTCTTCTTGCTTTCCTATTACTCTACCTATTTGTTGAGTAAATTTAGATTTTTGAACAGTGAGTTTATTACATAAAGTAAACATATACAATGTATAAAATGTTGAGTCAAATCAAGCCAAAGCTTCAATTTCATAAGTATGAAAAACTACTCAACTTTCCTAATAAGCAAAGAAATGCCAATTAATGTGGTTCTGGGCAGGTATATTTTGTACCTATCAAATTAGCAAAAATATACATCTTTTTTTAAATAGCATCCTATATTGTTAGGGGAGCAACTTCTAACTTTTAATGGTCTGGTAACCTGGGACAATTTTTTTTAAAGTAAGAGATAAATAAAGCAAGACTGACGAAAGAATCATATCCTTTGACTCATAATTACATTTCTGATCTTCAGAAATTCTTGAGGCATAAAGTTGAACAGAGAGTCAACATGGATGTTGTTCATTAAGAATGCAGAGTGTGGGGAACTCCCTGGAAGTCTAGTAGTTGCCACTCTGCTTTCACTGCCAAGGACCTGAGTGTGACCCTTGGTCAGGGGACTAAAATCCCACAAGCTGCAGAGCCAAAAAAAAGCAAAAGAAAAATACAGAGTACATAAAAATCAAACAGTAATTGCTTTTGGAGATGAGACTACTGGCAGTTTACCTAAATACTGCATAGAAATACAAAAAAGTATTTGTTACATCTTAAGAGTAATAAACCAAATACATAGAAGTAAAAAATATATACTGTTTCATATGACCAAGAACTTGAAGGTAACAATTTTTGTCTAAAATTGAAAATGATTGTATTAAGAAAGTAGAATTGTGGGATATTTGTTTGTTTGGGTTTTCTGGTTTTGTTTTTTCAATTTTCTTCTCATTACAAGCAATTTAATCTTTATATAGACTTTAGTTTACTGGAGAAAGTATATCATGTGGTGGTGGTTTAGTCACTAAGTCATGTCTGACTCTTGCAACCTCATGGACTGTAGTCTACCAGGCTCCTCTGTCCATGGGATTTCCCAGGCAAAACTACTGGAGTGGGTTACCATCTCCTTCTCCAGGGGATCTTCCCAACCCAGGGATGGAACGCAGGTCTCCTGCGTTGCAGGCAGATTCTTTCCTGTTTAAGCTACCAGGAAAGCTCAAGTATATAATATGCTCCATTAATGTTTAATTCATAAAAACATATATTTTGAATGCTGCTATATTTATCTGCCCTGCTTTCCAATAAAGGGGAATTAATATTTGCCTTTTTGTTTTGACAATCAGATACTTGTTGGCAACTAGCATATCTTCTTAAAATTACCATGGAAATATACTTTTAGGTCTTAAAAATCAAAACTATAAAACAATGCAGCTAGGGAAGGAAAAAATTCATTCAGGATTATCTGTTCTTAGTGTTTTGGCAGTGTTACTACTGTGTAGTAGAATGTTACTCAAATATAATAATCTGTTTTGTTCTTTTTGTCACTCAGCAAAATTGTTCATTGTGGGATCAAACTCTTCATCATCAACTAGAAATGCAGTCGACATGGGTAAGCAAAATTTTAACTTTTATTTTCATGGTGAACTTTAAAATTCCTGTATTAATTATATCTTGTGTTCAGGTCTAGTTAAAAAAATAAATGAGCTCATTGCAATTTTACCTTTTCAAGTTCTAGCCTAATTTCTTAAGGCTTCTGTGGAAATCACATCAACCAATGTAAGGTCATATTTTGATATATATAAGAAGAATGTAAAAGATGTAACATAATTACATGTTAACTATATGTTTGGAGATAGAAATTCTCCTTAATCATATTCTTAGCTTTTTTAGTACTATAGGTGAAATATCAAAAGAATAACAACAAAAACAAGCATTTTAATCTATTTTCATCTCATGGTGAGGTTACTATATAGCATTATAATTAATTAGTATTTTTTTCTTTTCAAACCTTCTACTGTTTACATACATGGAACAGTTAAATAACTAGCTCTTTAATATAACTATGGAAGGAACAAAAATTGTTAAAAATAAACTCATTTTATAAAAACTAAGAAGTTATCTACATTTATTGTTGTTTAGTTGCTAAGTCGTATCTGACTCTTTTGCAATCCCTTAAACTGTATAGCCCAACAGGCTCCTCTGTCCATGGGGTTTCCCAGGCAAGAATACTGGAGTGGGTTGCCATTTCCTTCTCCAGGGGATCTACCTGACCCAGGGATCGAACCTACATCTCCTGCTTGGGAGACAGTTTCTTTATCACTGAGCCACCTAGATTAATGTGTAAGTTAAGGCCATAAATTCAGTTTTTCATAGTCTCAAGCTTATTCTTTGCTATGATTACCAGTTGTAGGGTTTCCCAGGTGGCACTAGTGGTAAAGAACCCACCGCCAATGCAGGAGACGTAAGAGACTTGGGTTCGATCCCTGGGTTGGAAAGTCGCGCGGAGGAGGGCATGGCAACCCACTCTTGTATTCTTACCTGGAGAAGCCCATGGACAGTGGAACCTGGCGGTCCATAGGATCCCAAAGGTCAGACACGACTGAAGCAATTTAGCATGCACACACAGCACACCCAACAATTATAGACTATTAGGTCAGAAGCTACCAAAAAGTCCTGGGGCCTAGGAACAGGAGCCTATAGTAGTTGTGAGTTTCCCCAGGAATGAGGCAGGTCAAGGAAACCCACATGTCTGCCACACAGAGCAAGTAGATGAATGGACACTCATTGTTTTGAAAAAGATGGAAATGTTCTACATGACAGGTAAATCATGAAACCTAATGAAATAATCTGTTACATAGAATACTAGTGAACTGTACAGACAGAATTCAGTGGGGGCGCAAAGGACATTAGAAACAACTTGCCTTTGTTATGGACAAACATTTGTCTTCTTTGTGTTTTCCCTTTGTGTTTTCCATCATCACATCAGCCTGTTCAGTCCTTGGCGTTGCACAGCTGGATTCTGTGATCATTGCTTCACCTCCTATTGAAGATGGAGTTAATCTTTCCTTGGAGCATCTGCAGCCTTACTGGGAAGAATTACAAAACTTAGTTCAGAGCAAAAAGATTGTTGCTATTGGTACCTCTGATCTGGACAAAACCCAGTTGGAGCAGCTGTATCAGTGGGCACAGGTAAAGGACATCTGCATCCCAAGCACTCCAGGAGCGCCCTGTCTTCTGCAGCCTTCACTGCACCCCATTAAACATCATGCACATAGCAGATGCCACTTTGGGGAGCCTGTTCCAAATATGGGGATTTTGAGGCAGACTTTGACAAAAAACTGTAGAAAATGTGTGTTGAAACATTCATAGCCAAATGAATTAAGGCTCTTTCGTTCAGTTTTAACTATGTGATAAAAATATTATGTTTTCCTTTAGTTATTATTAGACCATGGTTCTAATTTCCTAAGTAAGAGAATATCATATATAACATATATTTTGCTCTGTTATTTAAAGACATGTAAGACCTTCATTTCACATAACTTGATATGGAGTAGGAGTCATAAATTAATCCCTGCCACTCTCTGGCCTAATAACCTACAAAATTATTAGGGAAGTTGCTTACAAGTAGTTTACCTTTACTGTCTCTATTTTCCTTTATTCCTTTTACTTCATCCCCAGCCTTTTAATTTTCTTCTGGGCAGGAAAACCCTAGAGAAAAGTTGCCTCCTTGTCCCTTTGACTTGGTGATAGCCAGAATGTGGCTAAGATTCTGCTGAATCGCTAAGATCACTTTGGTGATCTGAATCTGTAAATTAACCAGAGCATCTATTAGAAATTATCTAATTCTTCTCTTTTTCAAATGTATCTGATTAATAACCATATTATATACTTCAGCTCTAAATATACTTATCATTTGTATTTGATCCTCTGTCTCTAAGATACCTCCTTTCTAGTTGGAACCATCACACTTAGAATCATGTTTGTTTTCAAGGTGATGTATTAGATGGCAGGTTCTAGTATGAGACTTTTTAATAGTGTAGTAATATATTGGCTTATTCCCCTCTCCTTAGAGCTATTTTTCCCTTTCCTGTTACCAGTACCATTAGTCAGAAAAGCATATATTAATAAATATATTCAAATCAAAACTACAATGAGGTATCACCTCAAACCAATCAGAATGGCTGTCATCAAAAAAACCTACAAACAATAAATGCCAGAGAGGATGTGAGAAAAGGGAACTCTCTTGCACTGTTGGTAAGAATGTGAATTGATACAGCCACGATGGAGAACAGTATGGAGATTCCTTAAAAACTAGGAATAAAACTACTGTATGACACAGCAATCCCACTACTGGGCATATACCCTGAGAAAACCACAATTCAAAAAGGCACATGGACCCGCAATGTTCATTGCAGAAGTATTTACAATAGACAGGACATGGAAGCAATCTAGATGTCTATTGACAAATGAATGGTTAAATAAGTTGTGGTATGTATATACAATGGAATATTACTCAGCCATAAAAAGAAAGGAATTTGAGTTAGTTATAGTTAGGTGGATGAACCTAGAACTGTTATACAGAGTGAAGTAAGTCAGAAAGAGAAAAACAAATATCATATACTAATGCATATATATACATATACAAACATACATTTGTATATATATATGGAATCTAGAAAAATGGTACTGATGAATGTATTTGCAGGAAAGGAATGGAGATACAAATGTAGAGAATGGACCTGTGGACACAGCAGGGGAAGGAGAGGGTGGGATGAATTGAGAAAGTGGCATTGACATATATACACTGCTCCTGCTGCTATTTAGTCCCTAAGTCATGTCCAGCTCTTCATGACCCCATGGGCTATAGCCCACCGAGCTCCGCTGTCCATGGAATTTCCCCCGCAAGAATACTGGAGTGGGTTGCCATTTCCTTCTACAGGGGATCTTCCCGACCTAGAGATCAAATCTGCATCTCGTGCTTGGCAGGTGGATTCTTTACCACTTAGCCACCTGGGAAGCATATATACACTGCCATGTGTAAAATAGATAACTAGTGGGAAGCTACTTTATGACACAGGAAGACCAACCTGGTGCTCTGTGACAACCTAGAGGGGTGGGATGGAGAGGTGGGGTGGGAGGGACGCTCAAGCGGGAAGGGATACTTACATAGTCATGACTGATCTGCATTGTTTGATGTAGGGCAGAAACCAACACAACATTGTCGAGCAATTATCCTCCAATTAAAAAACAAATTAAAAAAAATCTGGCACAAGTATAAGTAAAAGTAAAAAATAAATTCATGTAAAAGTAAACTTGAAGCACGGTAGGATGTGATATTTCATATGTTCTAAAATTGAGTCATTTTATTGCTTTCTACTTTTCGATGTACTTAATTTAAAGGAGATGTCACGATTTTTCTTTTTCACTTCTAGGTAAAACCAAATAGTAACCAAGTTAATCTTGCCTCCTGCTGTGTGATGCCACCTGATTTGACTGCATTTGCTAAACAGTTTGACATACAGCTATTGACTCATAATGATCCAAAAGGTAAGACTGAGATTTTCATTTGTTGAGATTGATCAGGTGCTTTTATAAGAAACTACTTGCTAAAATTTTAATTTTTAATTGTACAGCGATAAAGGTACAATGCTGTCACCTAGAACTATTCTTAATAGTTAAGAACACATACACCTTTATTTTAGTTTCAAAATGCTTTAATTTTGTCTTTGTACCAATGGGAAAAGAAATGAAGGGATCATTTCCTGAACATCCAGTCTGCTCAGATTTGTAAATAGTAAGCTACACAGAGAAGATCTTGTAAGCTGCTCTAAGTAGTGTCACATATGAGATTGTCTAGTACAGCAGAGATTGCACCAAAAGGACACTTAATTAAAGAGGATAAATATCTGGGAAAAGCAGCAGATAAAATTTAATTTGAAACTGAAGCATCTTAGGATGGGTATCTGATTAGGTATTTTATTAATCATTACTATCAATACACATATGTTTGATGTTCATCAGAAATGTTATTTGATTAATGAGAGTGGCTTGCCTGCCTTTTGTAGGATACGCTTTTATCGACATTTTACAAGATAAGCTGGGAAGCTGGGAAGGCAGTGTTTTACACTTTAGTTACTAGCGGTCTGCTCCATGTTCATTGTCCAGTTTCATAGCGAGCAGAGGTGGGTTTCCCTGGGTAAATATACAGGCTCTGTGAAATAGCTCTTTTCGGTATAGTCAAGTGAGAGCTATCTTGTGAAAGTTTCAGATTTCCATGACACATCTATAGAAGTTCTACTTTAATAAAGCTTGGAGGAAATTTTATTTTATAGGTGATTCCTAAAGAAAAAAATTTCAGTTTTTACTTTCATTTCTAAAAAGATGGCATTTGTATAGGAGGTGTGATCCCATTTATTTTTAGGATGCTTATGGATAACTTCTTAAACCTTATAAACAGTCTGCCTCATTCTCTTTCTTTTTTTTTTACTGTTTTATAGGAAGTGGAGGTGGAGTTTTAATAGTTATTCTTTCTCAAATGCTAGGCATCTTGCTAAATGCCTCAGAGATTGTAACTCTCACAACTGAAACTGGACATTTTATGGATGAGGAAATAGAGCTTTAGAGTTTAAGAAACTCCTCAAGGTCACCTAGCATGAAGTCTGACCTTAGACCTAGGTCCTGAGTGAATTTGGAGCCTTTTCCCCACTCTCTCTCTGATTTGAAACATTAGTATTGTAGTATTTCAGGTCGGAAACTTTACTTTCTTATCAGCCTCCATTTAAATCATACCAGAATAGGACATAGTTACTTTTACCTCCCCTCTCCAGCAGAGCTTTCACGCATAAGTAGTTAGATTCATTTTTTTTACAAAAAGGTCATTTTGGTGAAAATCCTACAAAGAATTGCTGTGCTGATTTGTTCTGAAATATAACCTATTTAAATTTTAAATTCCTGTATGTTGGCATATATTATATAATTTTTCTATTTACTTTGTGGAGGCTCTTCCAACTGTAATTATTACCAACAACAGTTGTTACAAATAGCTGATGGGTGAGCCTGTAGCCCATTTGAGCTTCACTTGAAAAACATGCAATTCTTTTTCCAGTGGGAAAGGAAATAGGAAAAGTCTAAGGTGTCTAGTGTTTTATTTCCATTTATCTAGATGTGGGCATGTGGATTAATTGCTAATACATCATTGTGATGGAAAAATATATTACATATGTATAGGAGAAGAGAAATTTAATCCTTTTGGGGAGAGTATGTTTTTGTTTTACCAGTGTAATTTGACTTTTGGATGTCTTTTTAATTTGATTCTAAAGCCTTTAGGTAGAATTTATAGTCTGACCCTGCATATACTGTAAATGGATCTTCAGACACTTTGATCTGTAATGAAGCAGTTCCCTTAAAAGTTTTGTCATGTCTACTGATTCTAAAGATTTAACATTAGTTGAATTAAAAGAATGTAGTTAGTGAATAACATAGTTTTCTTAAAAGAATGTAGTTAGTGAATAACATAGTTTTCTGATTTTGTGTAAGATTTATTTTTTAAGCAAGCAAGTTGTAAAACATTTAACTCTATTTGTCATCTAAAATAGAATCTTGTTTATAAGTCACCTAAAGGCCTTCCACTCTTCTATAATTACCTTATAATTACCCTTTCCTCAGAAAGGTTTATTTTCCATTATTCTTTGTCCTAGAAGTTGTGGTAACAGTTTAACTACAGTCAGAGTACAATTGTGAAGTATGTGATTCTGACTTAAGAGCTTTCCTTCTTTTATTGGCCTTACTCCTCACTCCCATTAAGTCTAATCTATAGTATGCCTCATTGCCTTAGGGTTCCTCAACTAGACAATCTGAAAAACAGGTCCACAAACAGAGATATTTGGAAAATTACCATTTTATTTATGAAAACTACCGTTTACTAGCTGTGTGACCTTGGGCAAGTTATCTAATGTCTCTGCATCGATTTCCCCCTGCAAAGGAAAATAATATCCATCTCTTGGGGTTAACATATGGATTAAAAGACTTAATACATGTGAAGTACTTAGAAAAGTGCCTGGCATGTGACAGTAGCTAATATTTACTGAAAGTTTAGTATTGATGTTATTCAACTATCACAGTAGTTCATTTTGGGACAGGCAGGTTCTTTGACATTCCCAAATCATATTGCAGAGATGGTCATCTAATCCCTATCTGTAGGATTGGTTCTGACCCTAGTGGAATCTTTCCATATTGATTGATTTCTTCAGTAGACTATGTGCCAGACATTCTAAGTACTAGAAATACAAGACCAAGTCAGGAAAATCTCAGCTGTCTTGGAATTTGTATTCTATGGGAGGAGACACAAGTAAGATAAATGTTGAATGTGATAAATGGTGGTGTGTGCCATGGAGAAAAGTTGGCTGAGGAAGAAAAGAGTGCCCAGGTTAGGGGGTGTTGTTCTATATAGGATGGGTGGGGAGGCTTCCGTGCTAGGGTACATTAATCAGAGACCTCCAAGAAGGGGAAGAGCCGCGTGGGTATCTTGAAGAAGAGTGCTCAGGGAAGAGGAAGCAGCTAAGTCAAAGGCCCCAAGGTAGAAATAGGTTTGAGGATTTCAGGCTACAGCTATGGGGCCAGTGTGACTAGAGAGGAGAAAGTGAGGAGGGGAGTTGTAAATCGGAGCAATGGTAGAAGTCTTAGATATAAATGTGGAATTAGAAAATAATGATTTCATGAAAGAGATGCAGATTAAAAGATAACCATTGAGAAAGATTTTGTAAATGATTGCTGGTGCTGGTGAGGATATGGTAAGATTGGCACTCCAGTATCAAGTGTGAAGCAGTCTTTTCTGAAAAGCAAATTTGCAATACGCCATGTATCAAACCTTCCAAAGGTACTTGTACTTTGACCTTATTATTCCATAGCCAGGCATGCATTTTAAGGATGTTCATCAAGCTTTATTTTTATTAGCAAAATATGAGGAAAAACCTAATTTTTTTGCCAACAATAAGAAAATATATATATTATATCTATAAAATATAATATTGGGAGAATTATGAAAAATGCTTTCACAGAATAATTATGTGGGAAAATATTCATAATATATGTGAAAAATAAATAAACTAGGCTATAACTACAGTATGATTTCTGGTTTTTAAGATATGGGTACATACATGCATAGAAAATAAATATATACAGAAAAAATAGTGGGATGGAAATACATGGTAGCGGAAATGGTCCATATTTTTTCCTTTTGTCCTTTCCTTTATTGTCCCTGACTGTACATTGGGATCACCTGGAGATCGTCAAAAAAACACAAGTATTCAGGCTCCTCTCACCAGAAATTAGGAGTTAAACTGGCTGGGTTGCAGGTATAGATGCTTTCTGAAGAACTACCTGGGTTTTTCTGATATTCTGATTCTTATTTGTAGCACACATGAAGGATGAATACTCAGTTTTGAGGTGTTTCTTTTGTTGTACTTAAATGTTTACCTACATAGTAAAGTGCTTTGATTGCAAGTTTAACAGTTTGGGTTTTTATCTGTTGTTTGTTTTAAGAACTGCTTTCTGAAGCAAGTTTCCAAGAAGCACTTCAGGAGAGCATCCCTGACATTCGAGCACATGAGTGGGTGCCTCTGTGGCTACTGCGGTACTCGGTCATTGTTAAAAGTAGAGGAATTATCAAATCAAAAGGCTACATCTTACAAGCTAAAAGAAAGGGTTCCTAACTGCAGCTTAGGGTCATAACCTACTGACCTGTATTTTCCTTGAATATAAGATGAAATTGAGATGTGTAAAAATCTAATTACTGCCTGTAAGTGTGTCATGGAGGCAGATATTCTTTAGTTACATTTGACAATTTATTATCTGTCAAGTTTGAATATTTCTCTTGCTTCCATATCAGTTCACTCACATGAACCACTGTATTGTTTTCATTAAACTATTGTTTTCTAATTGAAATCGTCTATAAAGAATATACTTGCAATATATTTTTCCTTTATTTTTATGACATTAGCAATCAAGAAAATTTGTCATTAGATATATTTTGGCCTAGGCATCAGGGTAATGTACATACATATTTTTTATTTCTAAAAAATTCATTAATTGCTTCTTACTCTATAGTATAACTAAGCAATTTAATTACAATTGTTACAACTGAAATACTGGAAGATATTTTTCCTGTCATTGATAAGATGATTATATCTCAGACTAACTGGAGTAGCTGGGATCTATTAATAGTGTAAATAAAAGTCCTTTCCTCACTACATGAATGGAAACTTAAATTGTTTTTATGTGTCCTTGCTTGTAGTTTACCTGCAATGATTTAGCCTTGTATTCTGTGCCATAATTGCTCTTGCTTTTATTATGAGGACAAACCAAAGTAAATATGTAAAGGAGACTAGGAGCTTTGATCTTATTGTTTGGGGGCTTTATAAAAGCAGCTATTGTCACATCCAGATTCTTTTTAATTCTCATTCTGTCGTTAGTATCTTTCTAGTCATTCAGGAATATTCAATAAGTATTGAGTGATTACCGTGTGCTGGGCACTGTGGGCTCTGGAAGGAGGGAGCACAGGGATGAAGAATCAATTAAGTAAAATACGCAATACTCGTTCCCTTCTAGTAACCGACTACGAGGGACTAAGAGCCAGAAAAGAGGTGAAAAAAATCTTTAGTTCAGGGTCAGTGTTGTCTGTTTAGATAACTTTGTTTGAGATACAGTCTTAACTATTTAAAAACAGGACAGTATAATCAAAACTTTAAAGCTAAAAGAGACTGTGTATCATTCAATATGATTCCTCATTAGATTAAGAACCAGAAAATAGCAAATAAGTAAGTTGTGACCTTTGGTATATACTATTGGTCTCTGTAACTCTCTAAATTTGTATCTGTGACCCAAATAGTTTGAAAAATTTTTTTTAAATCTCTTGTATCTCAATTAATACTTTTAAACCATGTATTTTAACATATGGTTTGTAAAACTAAGCTAATGATAATATATATATTTATACATACACATATATACATACGCACACATACATATACATATACACACATGTATGTAACTCATATAAAACTAATTTGCCCAAGTTTTTTCAGCTTAGGGAAAAGAGCTATGATTCCATATTCAAAATAAACACATTAAAAATCAATATTATATAAACAAACAAGACTCTTCTCCTATCATAAGTAAGGTTTTATGGTTTACTAGTTGGATAATTTGATTAGAATTGTAATGTGAAATCAGCTGGTTTACATGCTAAAACTTGTTTAGACTTTCAGCTTCCTAAAGCCTTCTGTAGCCTTTATATTAATTGTATGTAATGTTATTAAGTATACATAGTTAACTTTTTAGTTTGGAAAAGTACATTTTTTCATGTAACGTAAGTCTTAAACAAATGCTCATTTTAATTTAAGCCTATAGAGTGAATTGGCCAAGATATTTAAGAGGGTACTTAAATATCACATTTATTATTTTTTAAAACCCTAGGCTTACAAAAGCAGATTTTTAAATAAAAGCAGGTTATTTTGAAAATAGGAAAAAAACATATATTGCCAATATATCCAGACTTCAGGGGGACCTTTTTGTGTGTTTTTTCACCAACTCTTGACAAGGACCCAAGATTATAGATTCATTTTATGAAGGAGATCATGTATGGCTTTTTTAAAATGTGTTTTTTGTTTTGCTTCTATATCTTTAATTTCTGTTCTTGAATAACCTTTCTTTAAAAAACTGATTTTTTAAGGCTTCATCTTTTCTAAGCTGATACTCACTTCTTTATTTGGTGAACTATCAGAATATAGTGAATGCTTTTCAAATATTGAAGGATTTAATGTTTAAAAAGCCATAAAATAAAGAGTGATGATACTACCAAATAACTGCTTAAAACTGAAAGCTAAGTGAGCAATAGTGTATATAACAGATTTGTTTTTGTGGTGAGATGTGTATCCAGTGACCCAAGGCATAAAGAACTTTATAACTTTTTTTCCAGTAAACATGACAAGAAGCTGCAGCTTATTATTATGTGTCCAAAATACACTGGAGCCTTATTTTAACACAATGTACTGTAACTTGTAATTTGTTCTGTAATGAGTCTGTTTTGAATTCTCATCTAAGAAACTGTAGTCAAAAAAAAGGACCCAGGTGTCTTATAAAATGTGTTTTCATGTAGTGTGAGTTCTGAAGACCACATTGTGCCAGTATGATAATAGAGTATCCAACAACCAGTGCTAGAAATTGAATCACGAATAATAGCTAATAATTTTTCCATTCACAGGAACATTTAGACAGCTGTGTGAAATGGAAAGTGAAGTTATTCTGTTTTGAATGAATGATACAGACTTTTCCCTACCAGAGCCTAGTAGTAACTGAAATAGGATCTTGATTTTCAGTGATAAAGGTCTAAGGCTCATTTAATTATGTCTTTTTTTAGAACCTAAGAAGTTCAAGTTTAGAACTTCTTAAGTTTAAACTTAAGAAAGTTTAGAAGTCTTTCTAACTTTTCCACCCAGTTTCAATATTTAGGAATGTAAGCAGTTGATATATATATATATATATATATATATATATATATATATATATATTGTGTGTGTGTGTGTATATATATATATATACACACACACACAATATGTGAATTTTATTTTTTAAAAATATGTACTATAACTTTTATTAATTTTTTTATAGTTTTCAGAATGAGAAATATACTTAGGAGGGGGAAATGTTTTAATAGATAATTCTACTTTTATGTGTCTTTAGTAGTATACTATAAAGGCAAAATATAAAGCATCATTAAATATTTATAATAGTTTTTAATTTTAACTATATTATGAACTTAAAGTATGAGTTGTATATTTTTTAATTGAGTTGTTGCAATAATTGTAAGCATCTTGAAACATTGACTTTGAACTGTTTAAATTCAAACTGAGTATGATTTAAAAATAAATTATGATAAAAATTTAAACATCCAAGCCATAAAGTTATTCATACATTCATTCAATAAAGATGTATTGAATGCCTGCTGTGTGCCAGGCACTGTGCCAGGTGTTGGCAGAAAGACACAGAGATGAAAACAGCCCTGTCTTCAGAGAGTAGATAAGTGTATTTGAGGGGCGAGAGAGATCTCAGTGTGAACAAGAGGAATAAAGGGCTGCACGTGTTGTTAATGATAAAAGCTGTGAAAGGGGAGTAGGGTCATATGGAAGGACTGCTGGGAAGCAGAGTGAGGACACGTAAGAAAAGTTCCCTGAAGAAACTAGCCTTAGAGTTAGGATCATAGAGTGGGATGAGGGGTGTGCCTGGTTTGTATTCAATAAATACACTTATACTGAATGATGAAACAGTTTATATATAAACTTCAGAAATTCAGTGAAAACACTTTCTTCAAGAGCTTATTCTTATCAGATAGAAAGGAATGGCTTCTAGTGAGACAAGAGTAGGTAAGGTTTGAAAAGTCACATTTTACATAAGACAGAAACTTGCCTCAGTCCCCTAGACATGTTAGGGTATGTCTTATGTAGTTTCACTACCAGAAACATCAGACAAAACCTTGATATGTATCTCTCAGCAATGAATAAATGTATAAAATGTTCTACAAGATTTTGGTCTGTGTTTTGGTTCATTATCTTAAGGTTCGTGTTTTACAATAAGTGTTACTTATTTGGACTTGGCTTTGTTTTCTCTGTTTCTTTGCTCACTGTTGATTCTTACATCCTATTCCATTCACATTTATTTTGTTCTTAATTATATCCTTAGTAATTCTTTCACTAAAGGTCTTTGGCCAGTAAACCTCCTAAGTTTTGTTTGTCTCAAAATGTTTTTGTTAACAATCTTAAATGATCATTTGACATTATAGAATTCTAAGTTTCCAAACACTTTCCCTCAACATCTTGAAGATAATATTCCATTGACTTCCAGCATTTATACTCTTGCTAATGAGAATCTGGATTTTCTTCCCTAGAAATAATCTGTTTTTCCCTCTGGTCTCTTTTTTCATTTGAAATACTTGATTCATTTTGATATGTGTGGAATTAGAATAAAGCAAAAACATGAAAACTGGCTTCTGAGTTTTCTAATAACACCAAAAAAGTAACCATAAAGGAAAATATCAATAACCAGATTTAATCAAAATTAAAATCTTACGTTGTTAAAAATATAGTCAAGAAAATGAAAATGTGAGCCACAGACTCAATGAAATATGTGCAATAGACATCTTATGAAAAATGGACATAAATGTTTTTAAATTGAACTTCAAAAACACCATTCAGGATAAGCCATAATGGAAAAGAATATGAAAAAGAATGTGTGTGTGTGTGTATATATGTATAACTGAATCACTTTGCTGTATAGTAAAAATTAATACAAAATTGTAAATCTACTACACTTCAATAATTTTTTTTAAAAACTTCAAACCTCCATCAAGAAAGTCAAAACACCATCAAGAAAGTCAAAAGGCAACCTAAAAACAGGATAAGATACTTGAAAATCATACATCTGATAAGGATCTTGTATCCAGAGTGTTTAAAGAACTTCTTACAGCTTAAGACAACCCAAGAAAAATTAGGCAAAATTTAGGACAGATTTTTTTTTCCCCCAAAGAAGACATAATATTCAGGAAGAACATGTAAGATGTTCAACATCATTAGTCATCAGGGAAATGCCAATTAAACCCATAATGAAATATCACCAAAGTAGCTAAAATTTTGAAAGACTGGCAGTAGCAAGTGGTGGCAAGGATGTAGAGGAAGCAACTCCCACATAGTCCAGTAAAATGGTACAACTACTATGAAAAAGAACTTGAGAGTTCTTACAAAACGTACCATGTGACCCAGCAACTCCACTCCTAGGTATTTACTCAAGAGAAATCATGTATCTGAAAAAGACATATACCAATATCTACAGTACTTTGGAATTCTGTGGTGGCTCAGCAGTAAAGAATCCCCCTGCCAATGCAGGAGATGCAGGTTTGATCTCTGGGTCAGGAAAATCCCCTGGAGGAGGAAATCACAACTCACTCCAGTATTCTTGCCTGGAAAATCCCATGGACAGAGAAACTTGGCAGGCTACAGTCCACGGGGTGGCAGAGAGCTGGACATGACTTAGCAACTAAACAACAACATAGCACTTTTCTCATAACACCTGGAAACAACCCAGATGTTTAGCAGTAGTTGAATGGATAGATGAATTGTAGTATGCATGCTAAATAGTAGTGCTAATTTGCCTCAGTCACGTCAGACTCTTCGTGACTCTATGGACTGTGGCCCACCAGGCTCCTCTGTCCCTGGGATTCTCCAGGCAAGAATACTGGAGTGGGTTGCCATGCCCTCCTCCAGGGGATCTTCCAGACCCAGGGATCGAACCTGTGTCTTCTATGTCTCCTGCATTGGCAGGCAGGTTTTTTTTTACCACTAGCACCACCTGAGAAGTCTGAATTGTAGTATAATCAGCAATTTTAAAAAATAACTACTGGTATACACAGTAATATATATTACTGCTGGTTTATATAGTTTATATGGTTAATATATATTACTACACTGGTTTCCCTGGTAGCTCAGATGGTAAAGCGTCTGCCTACAATGAGGGAGACCTGGGTTTGATCCCTGGGTCTGGAAGATCCCCTAGAGAAGGAAATGGCAATCCACTCCAGTACTCTTGCCTGGAAAATCCCATGGACTGAAGAGCCTGGTGGGCTACAGTCCATGGGGTCGTGAAGAGTCAGACACGACTGAGCAATTTCACCTTCACTTTCATACACAGTAATATGGATGAGTCTCAGAAATAGGCTGAGTGAAAGAAGCTGGACATGAAAATACATTATTTCCTTTACATGAAAATTTTAGGTCAGACAGAATTAGTATTGACTGTATTATCTATTGCTGCACCTGGATACCTCAGGGCGCCTCAAAATGTTGCAATCATGGTCATCTGGGACTCCAGTCTCCTTTGTGTGCTTGACTGAGGTTGGTCTCCTTCCAAGCTTGCTCATGAGGTTGTTGACTAGACTCAGTTTCCTTTCTGGCTATAAGCCAGGGGCCTTCCTCACTTCCTTGCCACATGGCCATCTGTATAGGGCAGCTCATAGCAAGCAATTACTAGCTTCCCACAGAATGAATGAGTGAGAAAGTACAAAAGAGAAGCCAGCCTTTTTTTGTAATCTTATCTTGAAAGTGACACCCATCACTTCTGTCACGTTCTTTTCATTATAAGAAACTAGGTCTAGCCATACTCAAGAGTATGAAGAGGATAGGATCAATGGAGACCATCTTACCAGTCAAACTTAAAAGTAATGTTTTGTATGTAGTAATGTAAAATGACCATGAATAGTGTGTATTTTTAGGCATATGCACTAAAACTCTCATTTGAAAAGACCCTGATGCTGGGAAAGATTGAGGGCAGGAGGAGAAGGGGACAACAGAGGATGAGATGGTTGGATGGCATCACTGACTTAATGGACATGAGTTTGGGTAAACTCCGGGAGTTGGTGATGGACAGGGAGGCCTGGTGTGCTGCAGTCCATGGGGTTGCAAAGAGTCGGACACGACTGAGTGACTGAACTGAATTAAACTAAAACTCTCATCTTTTGGTTAAAATTCCTGCGAGAGATTCAACCCTATAATTTAAGATTTTTAGTTAGTAAAATAGACTATTATGGGAGAGTTTCCCTTTAGGCCTGAGTAATAATTACTATGTTTTTATATTTACTCTATCTTCCCAAAATCCACTTTGGGTAAAGAAGAGAGCAGGTAAAGAAGGCAGAGATGGGGAAACATGGCAGACCTGTTCAGTTCAAAAAGAACAGTTTTGCCCCTGATCAGCAGACCAGTCCAGTCTTCTTATATTATTAATATGTACTAACATTTTAATCTTAGTATTTTATTTTTGTTCTTGAACTTTTTAGATTCTAAATACTTAGGAGTGTTTTGTTGCTGTTGTTGTTTCATTTTAAAGGGGCCATGCTTGTAAGTGAAAATAGTACACACTGGTTTTATATTAATAATACTCTCCTGATTTTCTACACAACTCCTGTAATCTTAATTTCTATTTTCATGCATTTGTTTATGTTAAAGTGGTCATATATATTAAATGTTATACATAAGTATATATTAAATGAGTTAATGCATGTAAAGCACTTAGTACCAGCATATACTAAGTGCTCTACTGATTACTATGATTGAAGCTGTTGTCTGCTGCTTTGATCTCTATTACCCACTTTGTTGCTTCACCTTCCTTCCTCTACCCCATCCCATCACCTCTTCAAATTTAGCATGTCTTCTGTTCTTTCTTACCTACTCCAACTTACATAGATTGATGTTCTCTCAGATCCCCTCCTCTTCTCTCCACTTTAATTCCCCTGCATTTACAGTCTCGTCTCTGCTTCAGTTATCAACTTTTACCTCTTGCCTCAAAGGAAGGAGCATTCCTCTGTAGCTCCATCTCCATTTTTTTTTTTAATTCCATTCTTTAGCTAGGATTAGGCTCAGCTGCAAAACACAGAAAATCCCCAAATAACAGTGATTTAAAGTGAGAGATGTTTCTCTCAGGTGAAACAGCTCTAAAATTAAGTCTGTTTAGAACAAGACACTTGCTCCTTGGAAGAAAAGCTATGACAAACCTAGACAGTATATTAAAAAGCAGAGGTATAACTTTGCCAGCAAAGGTCTGTATAGTCAAATCTATGGTTTTTCCAGTAGTCATGTACAAGATGTGAGAGTTGGACCATAAAGTCCGAGCACTGAAGAATTGATGCTTTCAAACTTTAGTACTGAGAACGCTCAAGAGTCCCTTGGACAGCAAGGAGATCCAACCAGTCCATCCTAAAGGAGATCAGTCCTGGACATTCATCAGAAGGACTGATGCTGAAGCTGAAACTCCAGAACTTTGGCCACCTGATGCAAAGAGCTGACTTACTGGAAAAGACTGGACTTACTGGAAAAGACTGCTGGGAAAGATTGAGGGCAGAAGGAGAAGGGGGGTGACAGGATGAGACGGTTGGATGGCATCTCCGGATGTGAGTTTGTGCGAACTGGGAGACAGTAGTGAAAGGGAAGCCTGGCATGCTCCAATTCGTGGGGTCACAAAGTGACTGCAACAACTGATATGGCAGTTCCCCAATTTGTCAGAAACTTCTTTGTCACTGCTCTGCGATCCTTAAAGCATGGCTCTCCTCTTCATGGTACAAGATTGCTGCTTGAAAACTAGGGAACATGACTCTCCAGGGAGTGGAATGAAGTCAAAGTCAAGTTGGGTAGAGAACTACCCAACACTTAATGATCTGTAATTAGCTCAAACAGCTGTATCTGTCTGCAAGGAAAACTATGAGAGGAGTTATTTAGCTGAGGGCAGTGTGCCCACTGAAAATTCTGTACTTCGTGACTTTAAGGCAAAAAAAAAAAAAATTTCTGTTATAAAGTAGAAGAGAAAATATACGATGAGGCGCGGGTTCTCATCTCCAACGTCTGTTTACTTCTTCAATCCATTGCCCTCTAACATATTCTAGCTCTTCTCTCTTCATTCTGAAGGAAAAATCAAAAATTCTTGATTCTGGTCATTCTTTTCCTTTCACTGAAAAAAACCTTTAAAAAAAAAACTCCTTTGCAATTTAACATTCTTCTATTCTGCATTTTCCCCATCCCTACTCACGATCTCACCTTTAAATTATATAGCTTCCTTCCTAAGTAGTCGAGTTCCTGGGCATTTAGCAAACAAGTCTTTTACCCTAACTAGGGCTTTTATTTATGTTTATGTTTAACTTCACACATAATACAAGAGTGGGGGGGGGGGCGGCACTTAAGGTGTTGGGATAGATAATGCAAACATCTCCTTTGACCATAACCATGGCTACATTAAGACTTTTGCTGAACAAATGAGAGGATACATGTAGTGGGGCACATGATGCTAATTTCGAATTCATTCGGGTGTAATGAGGACAAGGGCCCTAGATCATTGCGGGAAGGTCTCTCCCTGCACCAGCCTGGTCTGTCTTCTACCGCACTGTGAGTGAATCCAAGTGAAGTCGCTCAATCCGACTCTGCGACCCCATGGACTGCAGCCCACCAGGCTCCTACGTTCTGGGATTTTCCAGGCAAGAATACTGGAGTGGGTTGTCATTTCCTTCTCCAGGAGATCTTCCCGACCCAGGGACTGAACCCAGGTCTCCCGCATTGTAGGTAGACGCTTTACCGTCTGCCACCAGGAAGTCCCGCACTGTACTGAACTCTAAAACCCGAGCCCTTCGCAATCCCGGCTCCGATTGCCTGGACCCAGGTCTGAGGGGCGGAGACGGCACGAGATTCTCTTGAGTTCCGAGATTCTCGCGGCAAACGCGAGTGAGGCGCATCTCTGACGTACTTCCGGGGCGCCGGAACAGGGGGACAGCGGGAGCCGCACGCCTGGAAGATGGTGGTTACTAGGTCTGCGCGGCCTCGGGCCGGGAACCAAGCCACGTCAGTTGAAAGCTCGCGGAAGAAGGTAGGAAAACTCGAAAGTCTCTCTCATTTCTTTTAACTGCTTCGCAGAGCGGTGCTGAGGAAGGTGGGCGGTGCAGGGGTCCGGCGGAGCCTGGGGAAGGAACGGCAGAAAAGCTAGAACTGGCGGCGTGCTTCTGCGTACCAGGCTTCCCTCTAAGCCTGTAGCTTCTAAAGACCACATTGGAATCTTTTAAGGTAATCCTTAGCAGGTAATAGGTAACTTGATGTGCGTAGTTCAACTCCGTAATGCAGATGCAGTGCTCGCTTTTTAACCTTACTATAAAGGAGAATTAATTTCGGCCGCCAAGCGTGGATTGGAGAAGGCACCGTTTTCACGTGGGAAGACTGACTGTGCCCTGACAGCATTTCCTTCTGGAGTGGAGAGGGCTGCGGTGACGTCACCTCGTAATTCGGTGGTGCTAGTTGTCTGCTGTCTCTGATGCTGCGATGAAGGGAAGGGAGCATTAGTATTAGTACACGTAGATATTGAAAAGTAAGGACAGCGACCGATTCCATTGGCGTGTTTTCCTGAACACATCGTTGGGTTCTTTGTTCTTTTCCTGTATGTGTGTCGGAATGTTCAGTCTACCAAGCATTTGTGACCTTTTGTGAGGAAGATTTTTATTTGCAGTTATTTATTTTGTTTCCTAAAGTCAGGACTGAGGTGACGCTAGTGAGGCAGAGCCTGCAAATGCGAAGTCAGATCCAGTATCTGGCTATTGATATTTTAAATTGTGGGTGGTGATGGTAGTTGTTGTTTTGCATTAATTTTGTTTACTGAGTTTTTCCAGTGCCCCCTTAAAATTTGCTTTTGAAGGGAGTGCCTCATTCACTTTGCCCTTGTCCCAGTCCTACCTAAATTACAATGTATTTGGCTTACAGAATTCTGCTGTCACAAGACTTCAACTGCACCCAAAAGTCAGGAAGGGGTCTTCACCTGATAACCCAAATACTGCTGAATCACAGACCACTCCAGAACAAAGTCCAGCTCCTAAAACCAAGAAGAGTGGAACTACAGGCTCATTACCAGAAATGAACAAACCTTCGACAGATGGCGAGATCTCTGAAGCAGAGTCAAATTGTTCTTCTGTGTCTGAGGTCCAGCATCCTATTTTCAGAGTAACTAGGAGAAGACAGATCTTAGTTGCAGGCACCCCAGTTTCTAGTGTAAGGAAAAGGCTGAAAATAACTCGGGTAAGTGAGTCTCATACTGAAGAAGTCTCTGAAGCAGAATCACATGTTTCAGGTATTTCTAGAATTATACCTGGCACAGAAATGACAACCAGAAGTAAGGCTAAATCCCAAAGAGAGCCAAAGCAAGAATGCCATGTGGAAGTTATTTCTGACGCTGAGTCATCATGCTCAGATGTCTCTTCATTTTGTGGAATTGCAACTAGGAGAACAACAAGGAGTATGCAAAGGAAATTACAGGCACAAACTGAGGAGAATGATACTAAGATTGTACTAGAAAATGAGAAGGAAATCACACATACACCTGTGAATTTAGAGGATTCAATTAGCAGACAGACTTCTCGTTTACTAGCAAGATCACTTTCTCAGATAAATAAGCCAGATTTCTCTCATAATGAAATTTATAATGACCCTGATGATGATTCCTTCTTTGGAATTTCAGAAAAAAAACTAGCAGTGAAAAAAACCCGAAATTTTACCATAAGAGAGGAAAAGCAGGACAGTATTTCACCTCTCAAAGAAATATCAAAGCAGAATTGTAGAAGTTTAGATGAAGAAGCCAAAAAAATAATAGTTGGGGGAAAAGAAGGTAATGAGAAGAACTCTCAGTTGAAGAATCTTTCTGAACTTCAGGACACTGGCCTTCGGCAGTTAGTTTCTCAAAGGCATTCAACCCCTGAAAGTAACAAAACCACATCAGAGTCTACAACTCTGAACTGTGAGGCTGTGATGAAATCGTTAGCTCAAACATATGCCGTTGTGGAAATGGAGAGATGGAATGAAGAGAGAAAGAATGCCATAGAAACAAGTGACAGTTCAGAACCTGGTGATGGTAGTGATAGTGATGAAGAAGAGTGCACAGTTATAGGTGTCAGTGAAGACATGAGCGAAGAAAAGGAGGTAGATTCTGAGAGTGTTACCAAACCAGGTAAACTTGAGTTCAACACAACTCAGGATAAAGATGATTCTGTTTTGTTAGTTCTCAGCAGTGATGAAAGCCAGCAGTCTGAACACAGTGAGAATGAAGAGGACACTGTGTGTTTTGTTGAAAATAAGGGTAATAAAGAGTCCCTAAATGGAGACTCAGAAAGTCTGTCACGTGACAATGCATTGTTTGTGATTGACACTACTCCCGGATTGAGTGCTGATAAAAATTTTTACTTGGATGAAGAAGACAAGGCGAGTGAGGTCGCCATTGAGGAGGAGGAGGAGGAAGAAGAGGAAGAAAGTGAAGAAGAGGAAGAAAGTGAAGAAGAACTGTCAGACCGTGACAGAAATAAAGATAATGAGTTTAGTGATGAAGACAACTTGCTAAGTAACACAAAATCTAAACTGTAAGTTTTATCTTTATTTTTTTAAAGTAAGCTTTTTGATACGTACTTCAAGTGGCAATTTACCATAGAAATATTACAAAGCATAGGAACTGAAAAAAATTACTGCTTTGGGTTCTTTATAAAAGAGCTTTGTTATGTCAGGGTTTCCCTTGTTTATTTGGGTGCCTTTGTTAGTCATATTTTTCCCACTGGTGAGAGCTAAAAGTACTCTGTTTGATGGTGTGTTAAAAATGATCTGTTAAGATTTTCTTGCATCATTATGAAGAGCAACATACAAAAGGGAAGGAAGGTAACTTGGCTTTTTTATACATGTTGATTGTGGAGAAATTGAAAAATAGAGGAAACCTGAGAAAAATAGTAACCTATAATCCCATCTACTGCCATTAAAAAGCACTCTTTGGGGGCGGTTTCTTTAGTTTTTCTGTTTTCCAAATTTGTTTTTCCCAGGCACAGGCCTTTGGTGGCAGTGTATCCACTGAAAATATAGGTATCCTTGGTTAAGGAACTGTACATTAACAGATGCCCAGTCTTCACTCTAAACCAATGAAATCTCTTGAGACTAGTCTCAGGTGTACTTATTTTAACAAGCCACACCCTTTCCCCAGGATAACTGTAACATACACTCAGGGTTGAGAATCACTGCCAAGGCACTGTAATTGAGTGCCTTGTTGGTTGTTTATGGAAACTTTAAACTGCTCAGTTTATATGAATAATTAGGGAAAAAACTAAGTCCAAGTGTTTATAAGTGTACTTACAAAAAACACTTTAGTAATTACATAAATACAGCAGAAGCCCAAACCAACTGCTGAAGATTCTGATTTGGTGGATCTAGGGTATGACAGTTAAATTTTTTTTTAAGCTCTGATGGAAAATACAGATGCTCACTGTTGTTTAAAACTCACTGATTTAGAGGCACTACTAAATGTCCTTAAATACTCAGGAAAACATTCCAAGTTTGGATAACTTAGAAGTACAGAGAAGAAGGCCGTGTCTGTCTCATTGGCTTTTGAGATGGAAGGATACAGACATTTATTAATTTACTACCTACATATGAAATTGAGCTAAATGCCAGATTATTTCCTCCTTTTTTTTTGTAATTCTTTCCTTGTAAAATACGTGTATGAGGTCTGTTGACATATAATATGGCCTTAATCCTCTTTTAAGAAAATTTGGGGAATAAATTTGGATGTGCTCTCAAAAGACTTAATTCATTATTTATCCTATAATTTCTTCTAAATGAAAAGTCTCAGTTTTCATTTTGAATTGCTAAACGATCTAGAGATTATTTCTTAATCACTTAAAAAGTGATCATTTCTCTTTCAGTCTGAAGTTGACGAGCAGCAGCATAGATACTGGACTGAATATTAAGGAGCTGGGTGGTTTGTATATTAATTTCAATGCAGACAAGCTACAGTTGAACAAGAGAACCCTGACACAGATAAAAGAGAAAAGGAAAGATGAGGTAAGCTGCACAGAGTAGCCCGCTGGTTTTCACAGAACTCACCAGTCACTTCTAGAAATGATTTGTCCTTGGTAAGAGACTAGTTTTCCTACAGTGAAACCACATTAGCCTACTGTGCTGCTTTTTTCTCTCTTTCCAGGAGAGTCATTTCTTTTTTATCATAAAATCCCAGCTAAAGGTGACATTTGAAAAACTAATGTAGGATCAGTATTCCTCTTCTGGCGAGCACCAGTTATGATCCCAGAGGTTTTTTTGTTTTTTCTTGCTATACTTTTCGTTCTTCACTGCTTTGGACTCTGTTGAAAATCTGAAAGCTGTGAGTACCCATTAACCCCACCAGGAAAAAGCATATGTGCTCATAGACATAAAATTGTGCACGTTAGGTAATGTTATATAAGCCCTCGGTTTCTGCTGCCACCTTGAATGGCTTCCTCCTAAATCTGTAGTATTTTCTAGTCTTGCAGCCTACACAGGTCTTTAAACTCAGGTGCCTTTTCTTTGTTCATTCAGATGTGCTCAGGCACTTGACTTCACTAATTGCCCTTCTCTTCTTCCTTGCCTGAATCAGCTCCTCCTCTTGTATTCTTTATCCTGGTTAATGACACCAAAATCTGTTTTTCTTTTGTAATCAGTAACTAAGCCTGAAGGACAGTGCTGCTTATATACTTTCTATCAATATTCCACTCCCTCCTTTCCACCCCACTGTCACTGACTAGTGACATCTGTTTTGCTTTTTCTAGACCACTGCATTAGGCCGCCTCTTCTTCAAGCCGTCCTCAATGGTCTTGCTAGATTTCTCATTCTGAAAACACAAAATACCATCTGACCATGATATTCTCCTGTTTAAGTCCTTGAGTGGTTCCCCAGAGCATTTCAAGGTACCTCTGTTGACCTGGCTCTGTCTACCTGCTGTGTTCTTAGCACTGAAAAAACAGGATTTCTCAACCTCAGCAAAGCTGATGTTTGGGCTGGATAATTATTTGTTGTGGGCAGATGTCCTGTGCATTATAAAATGTTTAGCAGCATCCCAGCCTCTACCCCATAGGTGCCAGTAGCATACATCTCTACCAGTTCATGCCCCCCACCTCAGAATGTCTTCAAACATTGTCAGTTGCTCTCAGTTGAGAACCACTCTAAACCCTACTATAGTACTTGATACACAACCAGCTCTTAATGACCTATAAAATAAATGTCATACACTCTTCTCTGACTGATAGGAAAGTCTAGACCACTACTGTACTACCCAGCAACTTCTAGTCCTAAATTTGAATTGAGGATTTAATAACTGCAAATGTTATTGACCAAGTTAATATTTGCTGCTTTCCTGTGAACTGTTTTGCCGGCTAACGGTTTTGTGAACTGTCTAGTTCTTGTACTAGGGAAATGACTAATGAGTCTGAGGTTCCTTTTAGTCACATACACAGTATTAAGACAGTATTTAATTACCCTAGGCAAGTAATCAAAAAATGCAGAAGACATTTAGGAAAAGATTAACAGATTTGACTACATAAAATTTTTAAACTTAGGCAATTAAAAACATCTAAATAAAGATAAGTAAAAGGCCATGGGTTTAATACCACTAAGATACAGAATATAATTATTCAAACTAATAACACAACCTTGTATAAAAATGAAAAAGAACACCGCCCTCCCACCCCAAACAAATGCAGGTCGTCTTCTCCACGGAAGAGGACTTATACACAGCTAAAAAAAAGTACACAAAAAGATGATCAGCAGCAAATGGAAACATTCATGAGGTACCACTGACAAAACAGAGATAATCACCAGTGTTAGCTATGTTAAAAAAAAAAAAAAAAGGTACCGATTAACTTCTGGTAGGAGTTTATACCACTTGGATTCAAGGCAATTTAGTGGTACCTATCAAAATTTAAATGACACATTTTATACACCATGGAATATTAGCCATTAAAAAGAATTAATTTGAATCAGTTCTAATGAGATGGATGAAACTGGAGCCCATTATACAGAGTGAAGTAAGCCAGAAAAAGACCATTACAATATACTAACACATATATATGGAATTCAGAAAGATGGTAATGATAACCCTATATGCAAAACAGAAAAAGAGATACAGATGTACAGAACAGACTTTTGGACTCTGGGAGAAGGCGAGGGTGGGATGTTTAGAGAGAACAGCATCAAAACATGTATATTATCTAGGGTGAAACAGATCACCCTCCCAGGTTGGATGCATGAGACAAGTGCTCGGGCCTGTTGCACTGGGAAGACCCAGAGGGATCGGATAGAAAGGGAGGTGGGACGGGGGGATCGGGATGGGGAACACATGTAAATCCATGGCTGATTCATGTCAATATATGACAAAAACCACTACAATATTGTAATTAGCCTCCAACTAATAAAAATAAATGGAAAAAAAAATAATTACACATAAAAAAATTTAAATGACACATTTTGGAATCTGTTTTACAGAAATAATCAAGTATTCAGAGATAATGTTTACAATGTTTAATGGAAAAAATTTAATGGAGACTATTAAACAATATCAAGAAAAATTATGCATAACTGCTATGAAGTTGATCTTTGTATGAATTGACATTGAAAGAACATCTTTGATAGGTTGTTGAGTTGCAAAAACCAGATTTGCTTGATGGTATGATTTAATTGGTGTACCATTAAAAGCTTATGTTGTTTAATCACAATCTATACTGCTGTTGTTATTAGTAGTCTAGCTGGTCTGAGATCACATAAAGCTGTTTTGTCAACATCAAAAGAACTTAGCCTAGTCAGGTGGTTTTTTGTTTGTTTTTTCGGGAAGTTCCAGAACAGTATAGCATTGTTTCTGTTGTCTTTGTTTTCCAGTTGGTTGGTGCAAGTGGCTGGTTGCAAACCAATGAAATTCGAGTGGACACATTAATGTATGTCTGGTGTGTGCAAATTCAAATTAGAAAAATAAATTTGAGATGAATATTAATTTTACAGATACCCTAAAATAACCCTTCAGTAAAGCATTTTTATTTTTATATAATTTACAGATTTAATGACAGGAACAACTTTGCAGTAGTATGTCTATCTATAAAGAAGGTTAATGTATCTGGAGTCATCAGTGTGGGAGATGTTTCCTTTTTAAGGCAAAAATGTTGAAAAAAATACATTTTGACATTATTTTAAAACTAGTTTAATATTTTTGAAGCTTCTGCAGAAAACTGTCATTACTCCTGAATTTGAAAAAAACTACTGTGTCCCACCATATAGTGAATCAAAATATAAACTTCAGAAAAAACGCCGAGTAAGTACAGTGATTCTTATTTAGAACATTTAATGTGTTTGACTATATATATATTCAGCTTGTCTAACATGGTTGTACAATTAAAATATGTTTCCAAAGAAAATTATCACTGATGTCTAAGAGCCTATAAAATATGGTTTCATAAACATGTTTCATATAAATTTTCACAAAGTGAAAGTACACCGATTGGTGCATTTGGATACAGTTCTTTTTTCCCTTTATTAAAAACAGTGTCAGCCAGCATATGAGGTCACTGTCCACACCATACTATGTTGTGGCTTATAGGTACTGTTCACAGAAGGCTGGAAACTCTGTTGCTAGCTCTTGAAGTAATGTAACCAGCTAAAAACACCAGCCTATTTAGTCTGCCAAATGAAAGCAAGGAATTTCTTGAGTAAAATACATGGGACTACTTCCATTTCAACTAATAAGCATAAAGAAATTATGGATGGTACATGAGGAAATTTGAGGATGGTGCTCCAGTTATGTCACTGATACGACCAGAGCATCCTGGCGGGCGGTAAAAACTAATATTTGCTGATGAAAAACAAAATGAAATTAAGTAACTTGCTGTAAGTTTTTCAAAAAATAGAAAGGTTTTGAATTTTAGAAATAATACAAATTCCGGGCTTGTTGGAGAGAGTAACTCTTAAGAGACAACTGGGTGACTGAATAAAAGTGTTAAATGTTTACAGAAAGGCTCCAGAAGTAAGAATGTTTTTATACTTTACATCTTATAGGATATCTCAGACAATAAAAAATCGACATTGTCGACTATTCTCCCAACAAGTCAGCAGTTCTCACTGAGATACAAAATAAATTTTAAGGAGCCTTCATTTATGACACTGATAGTGCTATGTCTAACTTATCAAGAGAAATGGATTTTTGTCATTTAATTCATTTAACAAAAGGTGTATCTGGAGACTAATACATACATTCCTGTAAAGTAGCCTTGTTTTTAATTCATGAAATTTTCTTCATAATATTGAAATGAAGTGTAGTTATACACTACTTATTAAAAATTAGATTTTTCTAGTTGTTTTTGGAATTCTGAATTTCAGCAAGAGCGACAAAAAACAGCAGGTGATGGATGGTTTGGTATGAAAGCGCCAGAACTGACAGATGAACTGAAAAATGATCTCAAAGCACTGAAGATGAGAGCTAGCATGGACCCAAAAAGGTTTTACAAGAAAAATGATAGAGATGGCTTCCCTAAGTACTTCCAGGTATGAAGCAAACAAAATAATGGTAGTGATGTTCTGAGGATTTTAGTCTGGAAAACACTGTAGTGACTTGTTTCTTCTTAAATGTGTATTTACAGTGTATATCTGCTCAGACCATATAATAATGGCCAGAACCCAGTTCCGATAGCCATCAGCCTGTGATGGCTTTCCTCATCAAAAGACATGTTCCGAATGATAACTAGGTTTCCAGATGAGCTCTGTAAATATGGAACCTGTAAGATGGGTGTGCCATATATTAATGATACACCTCAGTGGTATCAAGATAATCAGTTAATACCACCAGTGATTCTTTATAACCTATAGGGTAGACTCTCTACCCTGTGATGTAGCTTTTCACAATCTGCACCCATACCAGTTCACTAACCCTTATTTTGGTCACATAGCCCTCTAAGCTCCAACACACTCGGCTGCTCAGTCTTCTCAGGATGTGCACAGACTGGTCTAGTCATTCTAACTTTAGTGTTTGGCTCTGCCATGTTTGCTTGGTGAAATTTTACCCATACAAATCCAAGCGAAAATGTCATCCTTGTGAAACCTTCTTTACCTCCAGTTGGTAGAATTGGCCACTTAGTTTTCAGAGAATCTAGAGTGTTTTGTTCAACATAATACTAGGTTATGCTTTCATTTTTAGCTGTGTCTCTTTGGATCTTCTATAAAACTGGCCATTCACTGGCAGGGACCAGATACTCTTTGTTTCCCTAACCATGGCACAGTTCCTGGCACATAGCAGACATTGTATATTTTACTTGGTTGAATGTCTGAACAAATGCCAAGTGTTCAGTAAGAAGGTTCTAAGCTGGCAGCATTTATGATAACCTAGGAGATCTAACAGGTATATAGTAGAATGTGTGTATCAATCTTGTTAAATTGGAAAACTAAAAAGGTGTTACTTTTATCTGTCCTACTTTTCCTCTATTTAGACTATTCGTCAAGAATTTATAGTCTAGCACTTACATAGAAGGAATTTTAGTTTTACTCAAAAATTTTAATGAAGAAATGTCACTAGTAGGACCCAGTGCAGGTTGAATAAGTGATTTTTTTAAGAAATGGCAAAAATTAAATTACTAACTTTAATACTGGTAAAATATAAGCTGTGTTTTCCATTCCTTTCTATAAATATCCTTTGTTAGAACTCCCCTGAGGTATGAAAACAGCTTGGCTTTCAGGTATTGCATGACTTATTTCAATCATTCATTCATAGATTGGAACCATTGTTGACAATCCTGCTGACTTCTACCATTCACGAGTTCCCAAGAAACAAAGGAAGAGAACTATTGTGGAGGAACTGCTGGCTGATTCTGAGTTCAGAAGGTAAAAGAATTTATATTTCACTTTATAATATATGTTTTCCTTTAGAATGTGCAAAAACTTTAAAGATAATTTTTAAATGCTTTAGCATAGTTTCTCAACAGAACTATTAGGTATATTGGGTGGGATAATTCTTTCTTAGGGAGGACGGTACACTGTAGGATCTTTTAACAGCATCCCTGGTGTCTGCCCATTAGATGCTGGTAGTGTACTCCCCTCCCTCCCAGTTCATGACATTAAAAAATGTCTTCAAACGTTTTCAGATGTTCCCTGGCATGCATAAGCAGTCTCGATTCAGAACCACTGCTTTAGAAGGACATGAGACTAACTAGAGGAGGAGCCCGCAAAGGAGATCAGGAAAGAAGTGAGGCAGGAAGAAAACCAGGAGAGCAGTGTCATAGAAGTCAAGGGAAGAGAGTGTTACAGGCAGGTAGAAACCAGAGGGAGTGGTTAACAGGAATAAATGCTGCTGAGAATGCAAGTGAGCTGAGAACTAAGATCTTCCTCTGGATTTAGTACATGGATATCACAGTAACCTTTTCAGGAGTTTTTAGGGGAGTGATGGTGGGGGGGACCAGACTGCATGATACTTGAGAGTGAATTGAAGAAATAAGAGATGTTGTGAGCAAGACGAGAGGGGCACAGCTAGTGAATGGAGCTGGATTTTTTTTCCCCCTGAGATGCGGGCAGTTAAGTATGTTTAAATGTCCTTGAAGCAGGTATGTGTATAGCACAGATTTAAAAGCATGCCTCATATAGAAACTTCTGCTGAACTTCCAGACTGGTTTAATAGTAAAAGTGATAATATTTATCAGGGATTTTTAAAATTATGTTTATATATAGGCATGGAAAACAAATTTAATTCAAGTGTTATGTAAACTTTTTAATGATTCTGGGTAATGGTGAAACTTAGAAATAAGCAGTGCTCTTTTCTTATTTTTCTCTCCCTGGAAATCTCATCCCCACAAAGTTGTATTAATCTGTATACTGTTGACTTGAAAATGTATGTATAGTCTGGATCTCTTCTGAGTCCAGAGCCACATAACCTGCTGCTGCCTCAGGAACAATAATGAGTATCTCATTAGCCCCTCTGAGAGCTGACTGGGGCCTCCCGACTTGGTCCTTCTATACATCCTAGTCCTCTCCAGTGACCTGTTTCTCATGACTGAACGGCACTGCCCTCCATCCCTTAGGGCACGTCCTTATGCCACCTTCTCCCTTTAGTCCCATGTTCAGACTGTCAGATTTCCTCCCATTTTCCTATCTCTTAAGCCTATCTCTTTCTATCCCACAGAGGTGTCGGGTACAAGGTGATTGAGTCTTTGCTTACTTTATTTTAACCTGCATTTTGTAATCTTCATGATAGCAGTCTCAGAAATTACAGCATGGGTCTCTAGTAGTTCAAAGTTTCCAAAAGCCTGCCTCTACCATGGCCACTTTTTTCTTACTAGACGACAAGCTCTGAGGGCAGGGACTGTGGCTGGCTCATTCACTGCTTTGTCTACAACTCCTAGTATGGCTTCTTATTCATGGTGGAACTTGGTACAGATGTGATGGATAGTGAAAATGCAAAACAAAAAAAAAATTTAGAAGCACCTGCCCATCACCTCCACCCCCTACTGCCCCTCAAACTCCACCAAAAGGTTACATTAACTTCTAATGTCTGGTGTGTCATACTTTAGAACTTAAAGCTTTGGCTTTTCTTTTTAGATACAACCGAAGGAAGTACTCAGAGATAATGGCTGAAAAGGCAGCAAATGCAGCAGGAAAGAAGTTTCGAAAGAAGAAGAAGTTTCGTAATTAAGATTCACCAGGCAAATCACAAAATTGTACATCTTCTCTTTATTTATTTACTAAAGATAATTTAAAAATTAGCACGACCGTCACATAAAGTAACATAGACTGACTGGCACTATTGGGGGGATTTCTCTTTAAAAAATTCATTTGAGAGAACCAGTCACATGCCTCCTGGAATAAAAATAGGTGTGTCTACAAAAGATCCACTCATGTTTAGACCCTTTGAAGAGGGAAAAAAGGAAAAGAACCTCAATCAAAATATGTAGAAAATATAAAGTTTGCTGACATTCAAAAAATTTAGTATTTTCAAAGATACATAAGCAATACTGTAATTATGTAGAGATGTACATAGGGAGGAGATGATGCCCTATGTCAGTTGCACATTCAGGTCCAGAAAACTGGTAGAGCTGGGATACAGAGATCTTGTTACAAGTATAAAAGTCACAGTTGAAGTCAAAGAAATGTTGTAAGTGTTGGAGCATGTTTATGTTAATATATAACCAAAGAACTAAATGAAGCTATGAAAAGGACTTAAAAGATAGACTACTTGGAAAGTTTGGGTTAAAGGTAGAAACAGGAGATCTATTTTCTTTCCTTAGCAACTGAAACAGGAGGAAAGATAGATTTTTATCCATATTCAATGTTGTGTTCCAGTGAATAGTATTCAAATAATTTTAACTTGGCCAGGAGGTAAAGTCTCCAGTGGCAGAAATATGCATCCTGGCTAAGCTACTCATGACCCCCAAGGAACATTAGTCATTTCTATTCATGCTTCTTGGTGGCTTATTGCTTCCTTTATGTTGTTATTCACAGGGCCTCTCTTTTCTACCGTACTGCTTTCTTGGGATTTCAGTAAATAAGAAACTTCCTATTTTGTGTTTATTGCTTAGGATCACAATCAGCCTAGTAATAAAACTAAATGACATTTATAGGTGGAGTGAGGGAATCATCTGTATCTATTCATTTTTATACTAAAGCTTTTATTTCAAGAGTATTAAGGTTTACATTAAGGACCTGCTATGAGAGAATTAACTATCAAAACAAGAAGCATTTACCTCATACACGTTCTTCCAGGAGACATTGTTAGCGGAATGTTTCTTCAACTTATGCTACTGGGGTTTTAGAAAACTCAAAATTGGTGGCCCTTTTGTATTGTGTTTCTCTGTGCAACTGAGAATTTACCCAGTTTTCTCAGGCTCAAGGGGATGGGTCAACTTTTTATCTATTTGTAACTTGCATGCTGGTTTCATTCATGACTGATGAATGCTAGAATAGGTTGAATTATATGGTATTCAAAACTGCAGTTATGACAGATATTTGGGACCTATAGTGCCTTTACAGGGAGTACAAAATTGGAAATCTCCAATCCTTCCCACACAGGGCAGCATTTGAGCTTTCTAGATTGGGAAGCAGTGATAAGAGAATTGAACCTAGGTGCTAACCTCACTAACCCACCTTAGGGGTGCTCACAAAATGTATTCTGATAGCTGACCCTTGAACAAAGGGGTGAGGGGCTCTGACCCTCAAGCAGCTGAAAGTCAAAAACTTAAAGTAGGCCCTCTATATCCACAGTTATACATCTGAGAACCACCTGGTCAACTCCTGCAGAACATGTAGTACTTTAGTATGGATTTATTAGAAAATCTATGTATAAGTGGACCCACCCAGTTCAAACCTGTGTTGTACAGGGCTCCACTGTATTTACCTACAGTTACATTGTAACATGCTCTTTTTTGTCTCCATTGATTCTTTATTTTATATGTATTATCTTTAAGTTTATACTTTATTCAGATTTTCTTAGTTTTTTACCTAATACTCTTTCTTTTCCAGGATACTGCAGTCTTCTTTTTTTTTTTTTTTTTTTTTTTTGGCTGCACTGCAAATTATACAGAATCTTAGTTGCCTGACCAGGTTTTGAACCTGCACCCTCTGCAGTGGGAGCATGGAGTCTTTGCCATTGGACCACCAGGGAAGTCCCTTTATGTATTTTTTAAGGTCACATAAATAACTTGGAACAAAGTAGAGAGTTATTAACAAATGTAAAATACCTTATTCAGTGAAATACTGAAATAAACTGAAATACTTCAACTAAAAATCAATTTAAGTCACCTCTATTAACATTTACTTTAAGGGATTAAAACTGGTAAGATGCATAGCTATATCTCAGATACGGTCTTCACAAGTTTAAATCTTCAAAACAGAGTATCAAAGTATATCTAGGTAAAGATGAGAAGGAAGTCTCTTAGTGCCCTCAGGCTTCTACGAAAATCTATATTTGAATAATGGATGTATTTGTTATGTGTTTTTTTGTTGTTTTTTTAAGCAAAGCAACCATTAAGAAACAGGTTTAGTGACTTTGGCTTATGTCAACTAAACTCGGTTCACTTACTGGAGCTATTTGAAGGCTAATGACTATCAGAAGTACCGTGACTTCTGAACTGAAAAGCACTGTAAAGTGTACTGAGTACTAACACAGTGTAATCAGAGAAGAGCCCTCAGAAAACCTTAAGGAGCTCCTGAAAGACGCCGAAATGCTTTAGGACGACTTACAAATAGTCTGCGATGCTACTTTTGGTTGTTTTGCTGTTGGTTATTTGGGGGGGGGGGGGGCTGTTTTTCCTAAAGTAAGGAAATTAGGGAAAGAAAAATGAAGATGGAAGAAATTAGAAAACTAGCAGTTGATGAAGGCAGGTTCTCAGCTTCCTAGAATCTTAACACAAAAATCAGCTCTGTTCAGTGTTCTGCCGTGAGATGAAAAACAACTGCTTTAGAGAAACACCATTATACCTGTTTTTAAGACCTGAGGAAATGTCTCATGGGTTCCCTAACAAGGCTGTCAGACTACAAGCCATGCTTGGCTGTTCAGAGAATAAATAGCAGGCTTTTAAAAGGAAGAAAGGGTGTACAGAAACATTTAATGAAACTTGGAGCAACTGGGATAAATTCAAGGGGTTGCATTCTAAATCTAGCAAATATAAGAAAAACTCACAAAAAATTTTCAGTACCATCTTTGGAATATGTGCAGGTGCCCATTCAGTTCAGTCTCTCAAGTAATGACAACTACTGTTTAGAATAACCATCTACAACATCTTACAGAAAGCATGCACTTAGGATTGAAACAAAATGATTTACAAACTCCCCAAAGCATCTGACTAGAATGTAAAATTCAGGTCTCATTGTTTAAAAGTGAAGACGGAATGCATTCAAATTATAATAATTTCCCTGAAGCATGGTCAGTAGCATGACTTGTCTTAAGCATCAGTGTTTTATCAGAGTTGGAATGTTTCAAACTGTGAAATGTGAGTTATCTAAACTCATAGTTATCTAAACTGTGGAGGTGGTTCTGAAATGTAAATAAACACTGAACACCGCTGTGAGAAAGGGGAAACTTATAGGTTCAGGTGACAGTGTTCATTCCTTATCACCGTGTAACAAATTGCCCCAAGACTCAGTGATTCAAAACAGCCACTGTTTTACTCAATCTCATGATTCAGTGGGACAGGGCTGGGCTAGATGGCCTGTACTCCACATGGTATCAGATGAGGTCATTCAGCTGGCTGCTGAGCAGATCTCGAAGGCCTAACACATTCTTGAAATTTTTCATCTTCAGTTTAATGGTAGTACAGTATAGAAGGCCTTCCCCAGTGGCTCATCAGTAAAGAACCCGCCTCCCGCCTGCAGGAGACACATGGGTTCGATCCTTGGGTCAAGAGATCCCCTGGATTAGAAAATGGCAACCCACTCCAATATTCTTGCCTGAGAATCCCATGAATGGAGGAGCCTGATGGGCTCCAGTCCATGGGGTCGCAAGAGTGGAACACGACTTGGCGACTAAACAACAGCATAGAAATTGGCTAGAAAACCAAAACATGACCCACACCTTCTGTGTGGCGCTGCACAGTATTTAGGAAGTCCTGCCCTTCTCCATCTGCCTTCTTCCTGGTTACCCCTCCTAAGGGAAGAGGAGCTGCTAACCAGATAGGTGAGCCTAAGATACCCTTAGGCTATACTTTCACAAATAAACAGGGCTGATGTATTAACAGGTCAGAAACCATCTGCACTTGGTCACTTGCCCTGTTAGGGGGCAGGCCTATCGTTCTCTCTTCCAAATGAGGTGGGAAATCAGAATTTGGGCTTTCCTGAGCCAGGCTTTCTCTGAAAGGTGAGGGATGACAGGGGCATAAGTCACTTAATGGCAGCCTACCTGAGAAGTCTGCAGTCACGGTGCTCTTCTGAAGCTATTACATGAGTGGTATTCTTTGTTTTCCGTTGATTCATCTTCCTTACGGTTACAGCCTCCTGGGCAGAATTGCAAAGCAGAGACTGGGATGGTTCAGGTGCCAAAATCTTGACCTCAGATCCCATGCAATGTACTCAGATTCTGAGGTCTTGTTCATTAAGGGAAGACAAGTGACCATGGATTATGAAAACTATAATTAGATTTAGTTCAATTACCAAATTACCATATGAACTTTAGTTCCCAAAAACAGGACTATTACAAATGACTGAGGGGTGTTCCTCAACCTTTGTCAGTGGCAGGAAAGAACTATGTGCATTCAGTCATCTATATGAAGAAATGTTTATATGAAGTTTTGTTCAGTCCCTCCTTCCTACATCCACTCCTCCACCCCCATAACTCAGGGAAGTTCGCAGGAGTAATGTACTAAGAGAACAAAAACAACGTACACACTGTAGTTAATAAAGTGTTTCTATATGTTAAAGTTTTACCAGGAAAACCTATTTTTTCCCTTAAATGTATGTGTATACATTTTTATGTGTACACAAATCAAAGTGGCTGGCTCTGAAACAGAGCTCAGAGAACAAGTCATGGCTTAATTCTGTAATGTAAAGCTCATCCAAACTTTGGCTGATGTAGCTATAACATCTGCCCTTCCAGCCAAGTCTACCACTTAACCTGCTTCAACTGTCAGCTGCCCCCACCTCCCAGGAGGGAGCCTGGATATCCAAGTGAGGTGAAAAGATAGTACACAACTGGCCCAGTGCCTC